TGGAGCCATTTATCTTTGGGATTGGGAGATTGGTTAGCTCAGTTGCCTGGACAACTGGTTTGTAATGTAGAGTGATGCCAATGATGTGGGTTCAGTTCCTGCACCAGCTGAGGTTATCATGAAGGATTCTCTTTCTCAACCTCTTCCCTCACCTGAAGCGTAGTGACCCTTGAATTAAACACCACTAGTTGTCCCTCTAATCCTAACCCAATGGTCTTGTAAGACTATGGAGACTTTAATCTTTTTATCTTTAGTGTACCTTATTGTATTTTGTGGGGCATTATGGAATCTATATCTTGGAGTACTTTGTTTTCAATATAACCCAGGCTGTCAAAACATAAAATATCTTATTAAAGCTATTTATCAATAACAGAAGTGCAATTATTTCTGCCATCACAATAACACTTGTAGCAAAGAGCACAGTTAACATAGAAAAGCTTCCAGGGTGCTTCACAAAGACGTGATGAGGTAGGGGTAGAGACAGAGCCAAAGGAAGTGATGATTGGAAGTTGATTAAAAGCTTGGTCAAGAAAAGTATTTTAAGTGAAATCTTGAAAAGGGAATGCATGTGGAGAAGCAGAGGAATTTTGGGAGATAATTCTTGAGCATGGAACCCAATGGCTAAAGGTGTGGTCATCAGTGATATGGAGAAAAGAAGGAAGATCCAGTCGAGTCTGGAATCGGAGGTGTTGGTTTGAAGTTGTAGTGGAGGAGGTTACTGAAATAGGTGTGAGGTTATGCAGCCCTGAATAAGTGGACAACAATTTTACATCTAATGAACTAGAGGGGAATGGTAGTTGTGGAGGACTTGGTGTGGGATGGTGTGCAGGTACCTAAGTTTTGGATGATCCAAAGTTAATGGAGAGTGAAGAACAGGAGATGTGTCAGGGAAGTATTGGAATAATCATATTTGGATGGGACACAAAGCATAGTTAGGAACTTTAAAATTTATGTCAAAGACAAGAATGATATGGAAGTGTAAGTAAGTGTCTTTCTGATGATGGGTACTTGGGTCAGAAGATCAGAATAGACTCAGATTGGTTTTGAATTTGTGAACAGTTTTGTTGCACCTGCAATGTTAGCCAGGTCAGTGATAGAACTCACAGCTTGGTTTGGAATTGCCCGTTATGGATGGTTGCTATTCAACAAGTTGTACCATTATGTTTAAAAAATGCATAATTATTAGTATTTTCCCATGAATAGAATTGGTTGGTTTCTTCTTTGTAACAAGTGTTTTGAAGTAAGCCAGGTGGTTCAGGCTTGGGTATTTTTGTTTTGCCGCATGGATTGGAATCAACTTAAACTTGCTTCAGTCTGCTGGCTGTAAAGAGCCATATGTGAAATGTGTATGGTTGTTCTCACTCAGGTTTAGAGTGCATATAGATCCATATCACAAAACTGCACACACTTTTATACACTGATTGACACCATTGCTGAATCTCATATAGGGGCTTTCAAGATTACTTCTGTGGGGAATGGTAAGGTGTCAAACTCTTAAGATTAAGCAGTGCACCATCTAATTACAATATATTGAACCTGAGAGCACTTGATGTTGGCACTAATGACTTGGCATAGAAAGACTTTGTCCTCATCATTAACATCCCTAATGTTGAGCACAGAGTTTAATTGTTTTAAAAGTTATTCAGTCTGATAGATGAAAATTCGTGGAGAACATTAGCATTATTAATCTAGATCCTTCTAAATTCTAAAAGTGAACTGACTAAGTACTAATATAAGCCATAGAAACATGAGTGAAAGGTGAACAAGGCTTGAGAATTAGCATAGAGTCAGGTTTAGCTCGAATTTATGCTGAGTGATAGATGGTAGGATTGTCAGGAGAGAACTAGTTTAGTTATGTGTAGAGATAACAAGGTATGATGTTTCAATAACTGGCAGTATCAGATGATACTCCACATGTAAAAATGAGCTGTTTAAGCAATGATATGGATATGTAGGATCAAATATGGTTGCTAATAGTCTGATTCAGCATCAAGTTGCTCTGGAGATGGATGGAGTCAGTATCTCAGGAACAGTTAATGGTACACAGGGTGTTCAAGATGGTATTTTTGGTCTTCCAGAGACTTTTTTGGAGGCTGCCCATGGTAGATATTAATGATTTAGACTTGAATGTAGGAGGGTTGATCAGTGAGTTTGCGGATGATATGAAAATTGGTGAGGTGCTAACTAGTTAAGAGGATAGCTTTAGATTACAGGAGGATATAGAGGGGTTGGTCAGATGAGCTGATTAGCGACAAATGGCATTCAGCCTGGCCAAATGTGAAGTCTTGCACTTGGGCAGGACAACCAAGGGAAAAGAATGCAAAATGAATAGTAGGACCCTGAGAAGCATGGAAATTTAGAGGGACTTTGATGCACATGTCCACCGGTCCCTTAAGGTCACAGGATAGGCAGATAAAGTGGTTAAAAAAGCATGTGGAATAATTCTTTAGCTGACGCATATACTTCAAGAGCAGCGCCGTTATGCTGGAATTGTATAAAACATTGATTAGGCCACAGCTAGAATATTGTGTGCAGTTGTGGAATCCACATTATAGGAGGGATGTGATTGCACTGGAGAGGGTGCAGAGAAGATTTATCAAGGTGTTGGATGAGCTGGAGAATTTGTTAAGAAGAGAGGGTGGATCGACTAAGTTGTTTTCCTTGAAGCAGAGGAGACTGAGGGATGACATACTTGAGATGTATAAAATTATGAGGGGCGTAGATAGGGTAGACAGGAAGGAACCTTACCTCTTGATGGGGTGATTAAAGAATAGGGGGCATAGATTTAAGGTAAGGGGTAGGACGTTTAGAGGGGATGTGAGGAAAAATCTTTTCAAATTTACAACATGCAGTTGCGATGCCAAGACGTACAAGGCTATGGGTCAAGTGCTGGAAAATAGGATTAGAATAGTCAGGTGGTGGTTTTTTGATGGCTGCAGACTTGAAGGGCTGAAGGGCTAATTTCTGTGCTGTAGATCTCTATGATTGTATGACATTTTTGTTCATCCACTACTAGATGTTGGACAAGCATTTGGAGGAGTCAAAAGAGGTGACAGTGTAACGTAGCTGGGTGCTTTTCACATGAACATGATGTAAGTGAGGATAGCATGTAGGTGACTAACTGAGCTTGCAGGAGCGGGAAGTGAAGTCAATGCAGGCAATTCTCTGGCTGCAACTAGGTAGGTAAGAACGAAATCAGGTAAAGAACATCAGCTTAGTTTTAACACCTGACTTGAATATTTGGAAGGTTTGAAATAAAAATGGAAAGTAGTCACAAAGCTGGTGGCTATTTGGATCTTCCTCAGCATATGAAATTGCTTGGTGTGCTACTGACTTCAAATTGGAGTCAGGAGGTAAGACAAAAGGGCATATGGACAAATGGTCATTCAGTGTATCATAACCTGAAATCAATACAGCACCAAAGACTCTGAAAATATATTAACTTGGCTTTACATCAGGCATCATCTTTTTGCAAGCTAACTATTCTAAAGGGAAATTTTTAAAAAAAATCCAACACTAGATTTTAATGTAACTATCAAAAATGAATAAAAATTTTAATTCCAGGTGTGAAAATCGATGGTCCATTTTTTGTGGCTGTAGAAAATCAGTAGTTTGTGGAAGATGCATTGCTAATTTTTTTTTAGAATTTATTCTAAGCAAGTCATGGAACCAGTCACTTCACCAATTAGAAACTTAAAGTCTGTTTGTAATCAAATCTTTGTTAAAATGAACATGAGCCTTTTTTTATAAAATCATTTTCATTCTTTTTCTGTTTTTCCAATAGCTTATTTGATTTGGCATTAACTGAGCTTGCAGTTGTTGAATCTGAGACAGTGAAGCTTGCTAGTGGAATGGATTGTATTTGGAATATATTTTTAAATGGTGATCTCATGTCGAGCTATTAACCTTGTTTGTGTAATGTCTGTGCACCAATATAGTGTTCTATTTTATGTTTCCATCAATTTTGCTCTCTGTTGAGGATGAAAAAGGACTTCAATGTAGTGGAGATATCATAACATTGAAAGACAAAATGGATAGCTTGCTGTGTTTGAGGTTAGCTGTTGGCCGGTGCATGGGAATAATCAACAAACTAGTCTCCCTTCCTCGGCCAGTGTGCTGTCTTGTGTCTGCTCTCTGCTGTGCCTCACCATGGTTGTGCAATTAAATACGTTTTAGGTTTTTGTATATTCTAGTTCAATATGTGAAACATGAACCACGCATTAAAAGAACTTTACTTAAAACTGCAGTTTATAAGGCCTCTGCTGAATTGTCTGAGTGAAGTGATGCACTTTTTATTCATTTACAGGATGTGGGAGTTGCTGGCAGAGCCAGCATTTATTACCCATCCCTGATGGCCCTTAACTGAATGGCTTGTTAGGCCATATTTAGAGGGCAGTTAAGAATCACTCCCATTACCGTCAGGTCTGGAATTACAGTCAGCCAGACCGGTGGGGTCAGCAGGTTTGATTCCTTCTAAGATGTTAGTAAAGATTGGTTTCTACAATGATCCAGAAATAACATATTCACTATTGATGTTTCTTGCTTTTTATTGAAGTTTTATCTGTTGGCTGACTTTAAATTCCCAGCTGTGTGCTTAGTTTTGAACTCATGCTTCTGGATTACCAGTCTGACAGAATAACCATTCTGCTGCTGGTTTACTTCAGAGTGCCTTACGTTAATACACAAATGCTGTGCAATTGGTAATTAATTAAGTTTATCTCTCTCCAAGCAAGGGCTGGTTTTGTCGTATGCTTTTATTTTTAAAATATATTTTTGATTTTCTGTCATTGGGTCTTTTTCAGATTATGAAATGTATTTTGTCCAAATGCTAATCAATAAATGAAATGACCTTGCTGGTTTTAATTTTGAAATGTGAGTGTTTAGTCTTTATTTTTGGGTGCTTCTGGTGATGTGAGATTTGCTACTGTAATTGTAATAACCTGCTTGTTATTGCTTTAAAAATATAGGTTTTACAACAGTTTTAACTATTTTTTGTTTAGTTTTGAAAGCAAAGCTGAGAGTCCCCAAATCAGCAAGGATCAGTTGTTACATTGAGGTGACAGTGGATGGTCTGAACAGTGAAACAAAGAAAACTGGAAAACGAAATGGAAACCTCCATCCACAATGGAATGAGACATTGACCTTGTAAGGAAAAACGATCATTTTATTATTTCCTGTTGCATACGACTCATGGATTCAACACAGACAAAAAGTAATTTCACACAGTCTCCTTGAGGGATGAAGCACATTTCTTTGATAAATTGTGTTTTGTGCCTGAATGAGATTAGACACAATTTAGCAAAGACTCATTCCGTGGTCATTTTCTCCAGAATTAGCCCTGTTTGAATCCAATACCCTGTTTATTGAATGTGTATCATGTATATAAGTTTCAAGTTTGTTTTCTAATTGAAAAATTTGATTGATCCCTATTTATTCCAAAGTAATGCCTGAAATCTGTTGCTAAAATCTTCCACATTGTCATCTTAATCGTGCAGTGAATGGATTAGATAAATATCTTTGTACATAGTCAAGTTTATTGCCAAATATTTTGATTCTGTCACATACATGAAATGTTTAAAGCACTACAGTGCATCCTGGATCATGTGAATGATTCCAGTTTACATATACATTACACTGGTTCTGTAAACATTTGGATATGCGAATTTGATCCTCTTGATGTAACTAGTGAGTGAAATGATCAGATTTGGTCATTTACATAAATTTAGCATTGGTGCAAAACAAACTGCTTTCCCCAGTGTGAACAATATTGTCTCTTGCGCTTCATCCCACATTTCTCCTGATCTGTCATCTTGTCCCTTCATAAACTTTTACATTTTTCCGTCTCTGATCATTAATTTTACAATGCAGAAGTAGAATCATAAAATCAGTATAAGGGGGAAGGAGACCATTCAGCCCAGCGAGTCTAGGCTGACCCTCTGAAGAGCATCCGACCCAGATCCAATTCCCTACCCTCTCATTATAACCCCACATTTCCCATGGCTGATCCGCCTAGCCTACACATCCCTGGACACTACAGACAATTTAGCATGGCTAATCCACATCTTTGCACTGTGGAAGGAAATGAGAGCATCCGGAGGAAATCCACAGAGATAAGGGGAGAGCATGCAAATTCCATACAGACAGTCGTCTAAGGCTGGGTGTCTTCAGTCCATCATACTAGTGCTGGCCTTCTGAAAAGAGTTACACTCTAACCATTTCCCCTGTTAATTCTGATATTATTTTGATTTGTCTGGTCCATAAAGAAACATCCTTAATGTTTTAAAAACGTGCCAGATAATCTTTAGGTCTGGCTGGTTTTCCCTGAAGTTTTTATCCTCTTTGGGAAAAGTGCTACTGCTCCCAGGCAGACACCAGATTAGCGTCGCTCAGCAGATCTCGTTGACTTGGTAATGGTCTGATCTGCATAATTTAATAGTGCCCTCTAGTGGGAGACCATCCTGCCTGAACTTTAAATCTATAGCTGACCATGGGTGAGTTGAAGAGAATGGGTTATAGAATCATACAGCGCAGAAACAGGCCTTCGGGTCAGTTCCCAGTCTCATGTAACTGCTGTGGTGAAGGTTTATAATATATAATTTTATTATTTGGGAACTTGGATTTTAATAGAGAGTTAAATGGAATTTTGGTCTTCAATACTGAAAAGCTCTGATTTTTGGTAAAGAAAGGGTCAAAGTAATTTGGAATGGTAAGTTAGATACAATGTTGCCAAGAAATCATATGACTTAATCTAAGTGACTCAACAAGCTACCTGGTGAGATAATTGCTGCTTTATGTTGACTTAAATGTATATGGCCTACAAAGTGCAAGGCCAAGGCCAGAAGGAAGTGACAGTTCAGGAGAAAAGATCCATACCAGCAGATACGCTATCTAGCAGCTTAAAAGCAGTCAATGTCTTGCGTCTGTTTCTTAAAGATCAATGGGAAATGTCAATGAGTTAGCCTGGAAGGTTGTGTGGCTCAGGGACAGACAATAACAGAGAAAATCACTTCTGTTGAACGTGCAGTAAGTCACTGACGTTTGTAAGTTCAATAAGATATGGAGGAAGGAGTTATACTTTGCTGAGTTTGTGTGTCTTGAAGGATATTGTTAAGAAAAAGGGTTGAATCTTTTTGCTGTTTATGATAAGAATTTTCCTATAGTCCTATAAATAGCTTTTTAGAATTTATTTTTGTGAAATGAACTTGTGTTAGTTTGCTAAAAGTACGTTGAAGCTAAAAGTACATTGACAGCCTCATGTGAATATGTTTAGTGAATGGCCACCACAGTAACCAAATTACCAAGCCAGTTTGAACTCTGGAATCTGACTTGTCCAATGTTACCATCAACTGGCATCATAACATGGCTCCAGACCCTGGACTTGGTTTTTGTCTGATGACACTATTATCTTTGGACAGATGAGTTAGAAGCAGTAACAATGGACCATAGATTAATGCTGCTCCTGTGTTAGGTGTGTGGATGTAAAGATGCCAGTGAGACAATTCTATGAAGGAGACAGAATTGAAGAGTCTTTTAGACCCAAGTCAACAGAACACGCACACCAGTTTTCTGTACTTAGTAAGAATTTCTATTTATTGCAAGTAAATAGATTTCCAGTACAGAAAAGTTATGAACCATTGCTATAAAACTCCACGAGCTAAAACTATAACTACTTTATAAAAGACCCCCTGTATACACACACACAGTCAAAAACAAAATCAATCAATGTAATGGGTGGAAGGAAAGACTGGGAAGGAAGTTCAGTGTTCCTGTCCACAGGGTTTACCGAGATGATCCTTTTGCTGTTCAGAATGCTATTTCTTGATCTTCCATCTCCAGATACTTTCACTCTCGGCGGCGCAGGGTAACTGTTTCCTATGTATAAAAGTCTCTGACTTATTAATTAAATATTACAGCAACCGATGATTGAAAGTAAACCAGCCATCTTCAGACTTAAGAGGGTTTTTAACTGTGGAAGAAGACAGCTCCTTCCCTTCCTGAGATCCAAGGGCTTCCACCACAAGCATTAGCCCACAAGCTGTTCAAATACTTGCTGTCCGGCAGGAGGCCTTTGTCATTTGTCGATGGAATGGTGGCCAGTTTACAATCAGCTCCTTGTTGCCATTCAGATCTCCATTTGTACACAGCCCCTTGTCTCCAGTTCATCTGTAACTAGGCTTTCCCCTGCTTGAAGCAACAGCTGTGTAAACAGTTCTTCTAATGAGTGTCAGGTAACTTGCTTTTAAAAAGTGTAGTAGTCCTTGGCTTTTAAAGCAGCTATTTTCCTATTTCAGTCCACAATCAAAATGACAGAAAAATAAAACAATGTTATCTTTACGCTGTAAATTATTATTGGTGATATTTCCACCGAAGTGGATAGGAATAGAAAGAGATTTAATGAAGATCTATAAAGATAAATCAGTTTACTGGCTAATGAAGGACTATTTTCTTTGGAGAGTCATTGATGAAGGTTGTTTGACTTTTTTACTGGCCGTTATACCTTGTAAGTGATCAATAGAAAGTGAAAGGACTGCGGATGCTGTAAATCAGAGACAAAAATAGAAATGCTGGAAAAGCTCAGCAGGTCTGGGAGCATCTGTGGAGAGAAATCAGAGTTAATGTTTTGGATTGAGTGACGCTTCCTCAAAAATGATCAATAGATGTATGTTTGAAGCACCTGGGGGTAAGAACAGGAAAAAGCTGCCAACACAGATCTGGAATTTTTGGTTTTAAGTGTGGGGGAATTTGGGGAGGTAGAGAAAAATCACAAAGAGTGCTGTTGGCACTGTCAATGGCTTGACATACAGCTCCCATTTGCTATAAAAATTCTACCCTTGGCTTAGGTCCTGTGATTACGGGCCCGTCCATTTCAAAAGAGGAGCTGTAGCTTTAAATACCAATCCAGTACCATGCAGCAGATGAAGCGGACAATAGTGCCTGTGGTTTATAACAAAAAGTACAAACATGCTGGCAATCAGGTTGGTTCTGCCAATAGGAGGGGTCAAGTGATGTGATTCTATGAGTTGGAGAATATTAGGAAGCAATCTGGATACACCAATGTGGAACTATTTTTTAATAAAATGGAAATGCATTATTAAACATGTAGCATCTGTTTTTTTTTAGAGGGAGAAAGGCAGTTTAATGTTTTAACTAGTATCATAAGACTTGGTTGCGAATAGGAGATGCACAGAACAACTCATTATCACAAATCCAATTTTCTTTTTTCCCTGTGGTGAAATGCTTTGCTGATTTGACTTGGAAGAGCACCTTCTCTTGAAAATGAATCCTGCTTCGGTTATGTTTTCATGGCAGGATATAATTGAAGCATGCAGTACAACATTTAAAATTACTGACTCTGGGCCAATGTCCAGTCTGTCTTCGATACCCTTTGTGACTTTGGGCAACTAAGTTAGGTGTAAGATAAATCTGAGTGATACGTATAGATTTTAAAAACCTATGCTGTGAATTTCGTAGGGTTTTTATGTTTCCATATTAGTTCTGAATTCTTTTTATGTAATGACATGTCTTTCATCTTAGGCATGTAACGCCACAGAGCAAATTGGAGCTGAAAGTCTGGAACAGTCATACCTTGAAAAATGAACTCTTTGGCAGTGTGACTCTTGATGTCTGTGACATTTTAAAGAAGAACAATGGAAAGTGTGAGTTCCTCTTGCTGTGTATTTTTTTAAATTAATTTTACCATGCAAGGTTTCAAAACCAACATTTTCATTGTCAAACCAAAGTTATTGATAAACTGAATTGCTGTGTTTGTTACTGTACTTTTTATTGGTAGCTAAAAAGTAAGAATGCAATTCATGTTCCGTATGTCTGAAAAGTAGAGAGAAATCTGGCTGCTTTAAGTTGGCAAAAACTACCCAGATCTCAAAGACTTGATTATATTGCAAGACTTGCTGACGCTTACTTCACTACGAGAGACGAATGCTTGGAGAGGAAACCGGCATTTGAAACAGTGTGGCCGATGTGTTATACAGTCTGTGCCTAAAGACGCAGCATCCACATTGCCAGAGTTGAGGAAGCATAAATGCTTTGCTATTTTACACAATGTTGTTAACTGTGTAGAGAAATTAGCAATGTATCAGACTGTAATAACTACAGCCATATTATTTTTCCCTTTTCTCAGTTACAAATTATTGTGCTTACTAATTATGTGATTTAGCTTAAACCAGATACTTACCTGGAGTCTTGAATGATTGAGAAAACTGAAAGTGTTTCTGTTTGTGATAAGGCTCACTGACCAATGGTATTGGTGCATTTTAATTATAAAGTTGCACAGGAATTGAAAATTTAGGGATGAGAAAGGAAAAGAGTTTTAATTTTGGAGAAATCGCTTTTAAAGACTGCACTCAACTTATGTAATAATGAGTGTTATGAAACAGTACTTATTGGTTGTTTGTTATATGAATATGCAGTAGAACTGTATGCAATTCTAGTTGTCACACAGTTCGAAGGATATGATTGCACTGGAGAGGGTTCATAAGAGATTCATAGGGATGTTGCCTGGGATGAAAAATCTCAGTTATAAGGAGAGACTGCATAGAGTTTGTTTTTTGTTTTCATAGAGTCATATAGCACAGAAACAGACTCTTCGGTCCAACCAATCCTTGCTGAACACAATCCCAAACTAAACTGGTCCCACCTACTTGCTCCTGGCCCATATCCCTTCAAACCTTTCCTATTCATGTATCTATCCAAATGTCTTTTAAACGTTGTAATTGTACCCGCATCCACCACTTCCTCAGGAAGTTCATTCCACATGCAAACCATCCTCTGTGTAAAAATTTTGCCTCATGTCTTTTTTAAATCTGTCTCCTCTCACCTTAAAAATGTGCCCCCTAGTCTTGAAATCCTCCACCCCAGGGAAAAGACAAGTACCATTAACTCTATCTATACCTCTCATTATTTTATAAACTTCTATCAGATTGCCTCTCAACCTCCTATGCTCCAGTTAAAAAAAGTCTCAGCCTACCCAGTCTTTCTCTATAACTCAAACCTTGCATACCTGGAACATCCTGGTAAATCTCTTCTGAACCTTCACCAACTTGATAATATTCTTTCTATAACTGGGCGACCAGAACCATACACAGTATTCTGGAAGAGGCCTCACCAATGTCCTGTACAAACTCAACATGACTTCCCATCTCCTATACTGAAAGCTCTGAGCAATGAAGGCTAGTGTGCCAAACATCTTTTTAACCACCCTGTCTATATATGATGCAAACTCCAAAGAATTATGCACCTGCACCCCTATGTCCGTCTGTTCTACAACGCTACCCAAGGCCTTACCATTAATTGTATAAGCCCTATTCTTGTTTGTTGTACCAAAATTCAATACCTCACATTTATCCAGACTGAACTCCATTTGCTGTTTTTCAGTCCATTGACCCATTTGATCAAGATCCCTTGTAACCTTAGAAAACCTTCTTCACTGTCAACAATGCCACTAATTTTGGTGTCATCCATAAACTTACTAACCATGCCTTCTGTGTTCTCATCCAAATCATATATAAAAATGACACACAAAAGACCTTAGAACACAGGAAGCTGAGGCGGGTTGAGGTATATAAAATTATGAGAGGCATCAACAGAATAAATCAGGAGAATCTCTTCCCCATGGCAGATATGTCTAAGACCAGAGGTCATAAATTTAACCTGACGAGCAAGTGGTTTAGAGGAGGTCTGAGAGAAAAAAAATACCCAGCGGATGATGGATTTATAAAATTTGCTGCCTGAGAGTGTAGTGGAGGCAGGTACTCTGGCAATATTTAAGAAGCATCTGGATGAGTACTTAAAATACCAGGGCATAGTAAATTATAGACCAGGTGCAGGTAAATGGGACTAGTGTAGTTTGGTATTTGTTAGTTGGCATAGACCTGATCGTCTGATGGCTTGTATCTGTGCTGTATGACTTTACTGGTATTGTGGTTATTTCAGTTCAAGTTTTTATTGTTTTCACTTCTGCACATCGTTCAGTTTTTACACATTTAGTCCAATTGAAAGAATAGCCATGGAGGTAATCTTCTCCTAGACCTCTGACACTGCTGGTTATTTTTAATTTGTTCATAGGATGTGGGTGTGGCTAGCAAAGCCAGCATTTTTCACCCATTCCTAATTTGCCCAGGGACAGTTAAGAGTCAGCCTCTTTGCCTTGGGTCTGGAGTCACGTGAATGCCAGACCGGGTAAGGATGGCAGATTCCCTTCCCTTAAGAACATTAGTGAACCAGATGGGTTGCAACAATCAACCATGCTCATCATTAGGTTAACTTGTTAATTGCAGACTTTTTTTTAAGATTGATTTCAAATTTTCACCATTTCCCATGATGGGATTCAAACCCATTTCCCCATTACATTAAACTGCGGTTCTGGATTACTAGTCCAATGACATTACCACTATGCCGCATCATCAATCTTAGCTGATTGCTTGAGTGTGTCAGGGTTTTCCCAATCTTTTTCCAGTGTTCCCTTGTTTTATGGGATAGAACCTGATAATTATTCAACAGATCTCCCTGATCACATTGCTGAGATCAGAACTTGAGAATTATGGACATTGACCTATGCTGCATTGATCCACAAGGCTGAAACTTGGGAAGCTGTCCTCTGCATGCTGTCCTCGCTGAAACATATTTCTAGCTACACTTCATCTCGTTGGCGTAATTGTTTACAGAAAAATGCAGTTGTACTGTGACTCGATGCTAAATAGTGCCATAAACACAAAGAAAGAGGTACTTCAACAGGACAGAAGCAAAAGCGGTATCCATAATGTTTGTTCTGTGAGGGACCTAGGGAGTTGTACAATGGTAACTAGCTCTGTTATTGTTAAATTTTGACTCTTGCCTATTTATAATTGTTCAGTTTCAACCATGACTCAGTCAGTGAGTAGGAAGGAATGGTTTCAAGTCTCATTCCAGGATTTGATCAAAAATAAATCCTGTGCTGCACTGTTGGAGTTGGAGTTGATGTTTTCCAGATGAGATGTAAACTGAGCACAGTAAATCCTGTTGCTGACCGGAAAGGAGTTGGGAATGGCTATGTGTCCATACTTAGTTCACATTGTGGCTGCTTGCACACGTTGCCTCTCTGTTTCTACATGATAGGCACACATGGTTGCACAGGACCAAATCCCACTTCCAATCTATGCTCAATAATAAGATAAGAGGTCCGGCTGGATTTATAGTGCATCGTGGATGCACAAAATGGAATTCATAACAATCTTCTGAAGTAAGTTGGAAAGACTTTGTGGAGGTATTTCCCATCTAGGTCAGTTGGTAGTTCATGGACGCTTAGCCCAGAGTTATAGTCTTGAATCCCACATTGTGTGGTAAATTTGGTAAACTTTTAAGTTTTAAAGTTGTTTTGTTGCAATTGATAAATTCAAAGACTGATTCACTGTGATTGGCTCTGTATATGTGATTTGAATGAGAATTACGGACATTGACCTACGCTGTATTGATCCACAAGGCTGAAACTTGGGAAGCTGTCCTCTGCATGCTGTCCTCAGTGAAACATATTTCTAGGTACACTAGTGATTTGGCAAAATAAACTCAGCCCAAACTGTGTCTCTCCCCTCGGGTGGGTTTACAAGATCCCTGGGCACTATTTTGAAGGAGAACAAGGGAGTTATCACTGGTATCCTGGATGAATGAACCATTGTGTGGAAAAACATGTGCTGACATATTTAGCTTGTTTTGACTTGTGATTTACAAGCAGGCCGGTTGATGACTTACTCAAAAAGTCGTGCTTAATGCTGTAAGTTCATTTGTACTCAGGATTACAGATATAAAATGGACATAGAATAAAAATGATGATTGATTCAAAAGGCTGAGGAAGATGGGAAAAGAACATTTAACCCAAGTACTTCGTCACTCTACTCGTAGAAAATAAATAATTCAAACATTTTTACATGTTGCCTGTAGTAATTCATACAATGATCCTAAAACAGCTAGATCCAATTTGGAGATGGACCTGTATTTACTTAACTATATCATGTCCAGTGAAGCAATTCTTTACAGTCAAATTTCCAAAAATGTGCAGAGTTCCTTGTTTTGACCATGAAGTTTGAACCTGTCCAGAAATTGCCCATCTTTCTTTAGATTTCTTTCAGTGACCTTCTATAATGTGAAGTCCCTTGTAGTCAACTTTACAGGTAAGGATACTTGGCCGACAGAATATTAAGTTCCATCTTACCTACTTTGCACAGTTTGCGAGATCTGTTCCTGATAAATACCAGAAATATTTCCAAATGCCAAGTCGTTCTTTGTCAGCACTGTCTGTTCTTTCTCCATTGCATTGTTAGTTTCAAAGTTCAGAAGTAGGCCATTCAGCCTACTAGATCTGCTCTGCCATTCAATGAGATTATGGCTGATCTGATATTCCTTAACCCCACTTTCTTACCTTTTCTCAGTAAGCCTTGATTCACTTACAGATTAAAAATCTATCTCAGCCTTGAATATACTTAATGACCCCTGAGGGAAGAAATTCCCCCTCATCACTATCTAAAATGTGTGTGAACCCCCTTATTATTTTTCTTTATTTTTCTAATTTATTCCTAAGAATTTGTACCAAGGTACCTTGTACCTGAATGGTGTAAAAGACTGTAATGCAGAACTTTTTATTTATTTATTTTCTAATTTATTCCTAAGA